CCCTAACCCCATCCCTAACCATATCCCTATCTCTAACCCTAACCCCACCCCTAACCTATCTCTAACCCTAACCCCATCCTTAACCCTATCCCTAACCCCATCCCTAACCCTAACTCTATCTTTAACCCTATCTCTAACTCTAACCCTTTCTCTAACCCCATCCCAAACCCTAACTCTATCTCTAACCCTATCTCTAACCATAACCCCATCCCTAACCCTATCCCTAGCCCAAACCCTAGCTATAACCCTAACCCCATGCCTAACCTTATCTCTAACCCTAAACCTATCCCTAACCATTATACTTAACAATATAGCTAACCCAACCCTATCCCTAACCCTATCGCTAACCCTACCCTATCCCCAACCATTATCCCTAACACTATCGCTAACCTTATCCCTAACCCTACCCCTGACGCTAGCCCCAACCCTTCCTATCCCTTACCGGGAAAGCGTGGCTGTTGTGCTTGAACATGGGAATGCTCATTGTCGTGAAAAAAAACCAAGCATGCATTAAAGCACCTTTGAAAACAGTGAAACAAAAGTTGAAAGCGAGGTCCACTGAGACAGACAGGTGCATTTGGAGAGTTTTTATGAAAACAAATTAATTGTAGCTGTCATTGAAATAAAAAGTTGCAAATTCAGATTACAGATTAAAAAAATGCACGTATTCAACCTAGAAAATTGCCATGTTAGTTTTGCGCTCAGGAAATATAAAAAACACCCCCCCAAAAAAAAGAAACCAGAAAAAAAAAATTGGTGAGGGCAAAATCTAAAAGTTATGTGGTGTTGACCAAGCATTCAGGCGCACGGACTCCTGAAATTCGCAAGAAATCGCAGTTACCGGCTTCCATATAGAACTCTTCTGGGATCTCGGCCCACCACACTTCCTCCCTGCCCATCCATTTAACCCCAAAAAGAGTTCAAGCGACCATGCAAGGGAGGAAACGAGACAAGCCCCTAGGCCCTGGCCGCCAAGTCGGCCATACGTCTCGAACCTGTACTAAGGCGCTT